TGGCTGAAACAGTTTCGCTTTCAATGGCCCCATCTTCGTCTCCTTTATCGATTGCCTGAGCTCTTGTGACATCAAATTCGTCTTCATCTAGATCAAAACGGCTTGGTGCTGGAGTCGATAACGAGCGCAACTGTTCAGCTAAAGACGCCATGTGGAATAGCTTGGCAGCCTCGCCTTAAATTATTGAAACGACAAAATTAGCAATTACAGGGGATAGGTTGGCGAACTGTTTTGAAGATAATTTTTTCGTTTCGCTCCTTGTTAAAAATGATTCTTATTGTTTTTACGTTAAAAAATTGATAGATTTGAAGGTTTCTTTGTTGGGTTTTCAAGAAACTGGAGTAAATTCAACATGACAGGTGACGAGTGAAGCCAAAATAACTTACCGGCCAGGGGAGGGAGGGGGACGAAGTGGCACACAATAGAAGATGTGGAACACTCATGACGTAATTTGTTGTGGTTTCACAACACCGCTGTGGAAATGGCGGTCGAGCCGAGTGCTTCCCCCATGTTGTCAACTGCTTTCTTGCACAATTGCGTCTCAAAACTAGAAGATGGCAGCTCTGAAGACAACAATAAATCGCCACATCTATCAAGGAAGTCTCTGAACGAACTAGAAAGTTCTGAAAAGAGTGGAATTCCATTAAATACTGCTTGGACGTTATGGCATGACAAGTGAGTATCGTCTCCGCCAAAAAAATATTTTTATGCTATAAGCTTGTGCTCCTCACCTTAAGCGGTGATTATTTATTTCTAGATATGTTCGAGGGGCAACAGCAGCGGAATATGCAGCGAATCTGCGAAAAGTGTACACTGTTCATACAATTCAGGTATTTTTCTTATGTTGAATGTAAGCTAATTCGAACGACAAAGCGAAAATTTCTCGTAACTTGAGCTGTCAAATTTTTGCAGTAAAGTCTATAACCTTACCACACATGGATACTTATTGTCTAAGTGGAGTTTTAAAGTTTTAAACCTCAAGTTTCAAAAGGTCAATGAAATAAGGCAAAACTAAGAGAAACGTAGCTCAAATGTTCGTTTAATCTTAACAATATCTTGATTCCTACAGCCGGTGCTTTGTTTGACAGCAAGGGTGAATTAATGATGAGCTGGTTTGTTTTGAAATGAAAATGACGATTTTCTAGAGGATCGGGCCTCCATAAGGAGTTTTTAATTTCTTTCGCAAATATTTGTGTGATTCGTTTACTGTTTTCAAAGATCTTCAACGTGTAGTGATCAATACTCTTGAGTCTTCTCCACGTCAAAATATAAGATCAAAACAAGAGCTTATCTCGGGCAATAACGCGATTTTTTTGCCTGCGTAGTTAACTTCTAAGTTATAAAAGTTCAAAGGTCGAGAACTAAAATCTAAGTGCATGGTATTTCTATGGCGAAATTTTGAGCACAAAGACTGTGGATTACTGTAGGTACACATGTTAGGCAATGGTACAAATTTGATAATTTGATAATTTGATAATTTAAATACAGTGTAGGTACAATATATTTGATTTTATACTGCAATGATATTCATTTTGTCGATTTCAAATTCTTAGAGTTTCTGGAGTGTCTTCAATAACATACCACTCACGTCATGTCTGGATATGAGAACGAGCTATCACTTTATGAGGGGAGAGAGAAAGCCATTATGGTAAGGAATTAACATAATATTGAAAACATGACAAAGTACATGTACCTTTCAAATGGTTCGTCTTGAAAAATTTAACCCTTTTTTCCTGTTTGTCACTTAGAACTTGTCTTCAACATCTCAAGTGAACATTGTGCATTACAGTACAATTTGGTAATGCGTGATTATATTACCCCTGGACATGTTTTTGTACCCAAACAATTGCAATTTGATTAATATTGCCCAAATTTATGCTATGTTTTATCTGTCTGAGATGAGTTAGCTGTCTGAGCTCCTCTTCATATGAGCCCAGTCAACTGGGCTGGCTCGGTTTCCGAGATCTCGCCTCTCCACTCTTTCCTTGAATTTTTTTTTCGTGAAATTTTGATATGTTCATATGAGAAGCTGGGCTGGCTCAGTTACTGAGATCTCGGTTTTTGCAGCCGAGATCTTGGTAACCGGGATGGAAATTTTTCCATATGAACACTCCAGCCCGGGTGACAGGGACCAAACTTTGTGACAAAATAGCTTTGCTTTCGCAACATACTGTAGCAGCCAAAATATATGGTGTATTTTTTTTGTTTTGTATGTATTTCCACATCAGAGGTACATGTATACAAACTACAATGGAGGACAAAAATCCTTGGAACAGTTATCCAAAACCTTGCTTCCACATCCTTAAGTTATCAAATAATCAGACGTAGCATAATATGAACTTCTCTAACCACGTGGATACCGAGAATGGCCCTCCCCTCCCCCTCCAAACAATGTTGGGATGACGAAACACTTGCAGGACATGTGAAAGTGTACAGGGCTGCACAAACTACAACATTGCTTGGGGGTGAGGAGGAAAGGAGGAGAAATATAATTAAGGCATAGCGTGTTAATTGTCCTAAGAGTTTTGTCCCCAATTGTAGCTTTATTAGTAAAGTTACTTGTAATAGTCCACAAAGCTACATGTATGGCAGTCGCGAATGATACAAGTTTATGTTCCACCATTTTGGTTTTGTTTCTTGAATTTCATTCAGGTCGACTGGGCTGAAATCTCCCATATGAACAGACCATAAAATTTGTCCCAGTAGCTGAGCCAGCCTGGTTACCAGGCTCATGCGAAGAGGCCCTGAGGTGGATAATTCATCTGCTTGAGACAGATATTGTTCTTTGACAGATTTGTCTGTCAGTACATATTCAAGACGTACGTACTGACAGATGAAACAACCAAAGACGAATTTTGCCACATGTAATTTGTCTAAAAACTGGGTTATACCTAGACAGATTTAAGGTGCTTCCATCTGATGGATAAATTGTCTCCTAACATAAATTTAGTATCAGATAATTTGTCTCTTAGTATAAAAAGGGCCATTCCACGTTGTCAAGTGTACATGATTGTATACACTACAAAGGATGTGGAGTGGGAGGAACAGCAGTGAAGAATTGTGTCTAAAATGCCTTAGGTGGAGCCTCTGTGATCTGTGTCCTTTCCAAACTTACTGTAGATTCATGGATAATTTTTTTTAAAAATTTTTTTCTTAGTCCCACACTAGAAATTGATTTTTAGATGGTAGCTAATTATTGAATCTCATTCTTAAATGATCCAACAGAACGTCTAGTTATAAGCTGTCCGGTCTTTTCCCCCTTTGGTATATTACACTTAAGATTAGTAAAGTCATCCATGGATGTACTTTAATCCTAAACTGAATAATATTTCCATGAATAAATAGGGAAGACAAAGAGAATGTTAATGGAGGCTACTGGAAAATGAGGTGCTCCAAGCAAAACACAGTAAGTCATTTGTTTTGAGTTTTTGAGTTGTGAGACTGAGACTTCAAAGTAATTTACATGCAACTGCAACATGTTCAGACTCTAAGAGGGTCTTATTCTAGCTAATTCAGACGTCATTTGTAAAACCAAACAAAAAAATTGGGACTAAAGACTTTCTTAGAATTGTTACAACGTTTGAGACTCCGATCGATACTGACGACAGCTATAGCGGCGCTTGTCCACCGCTAGCTGGACCGCACAAAATCCA